GCCCTCGTAGCTGAACTTGTGGGCCTAGTAAGTCCTGCGCGCGACGCGGAGGACGTGCAGAAGGCAGGGCAACCACGGGATTCGGCCAGTTCCTATGGTTCGAAACCTCCGCGCGGCCAGGATTCGGAGGACGTGCAGGTTATCGACGAGGAGAAGCGTTACGACGCGCCGCAGGCTCTGCTGGTAGCCGTCGTAGCGTTGTTTTTTGCCCTTGTAGCCCAGTTGGTGTCTGTGGTAGCTCAGCTGGTGGTCCTCGTAGCTCAGCTGGTGGTTTTCATGCCGCAGCAAGTGGCCCTCGTGGTTCAGCCAGTGGTCCTCGCAGCCTGGCTTGTGGCCCACGTAGGTCAGCTTGCGGGCCGCGTGGCTCAACTAGTGGTTTTCGACGCTCAGCTCTTGGTCCTCGAAGGGCCGCTAGGCCTGGGTAGTTCTGCTGGTGGTTGTAGTGGCCTTGGTCGTTGCCCTGAAAGCTCCGGTTTTGGCCCTCGTAGGTTTCCAGGTGGACCTCGTGGCTCTGCCTATGGCTCTCAAAGCTCTGCTCGTGGCTCTCGTAGCTGAGCTGTTGGCTCCCGTGACTCACCTGCCAGTCCACGCAGCTCTGCTGGTGGCCCTCGTATCTGAGCTGGTGGCCCTCGTGGCTCAACTGGTGGGCCTGGTATCTCTGCTTGTGGCTCACGTCGTCACCTCGCGACCCTCGCAGATCAGTTTTTGGTTCTCGTGGCTGAGCTGGTGGCTCCTGTAGCTCGGCTGGTGGGTATTGGAGCACTTCTGGTGGCTCTCGTAGCTGTGCATGTGGTCCTCGTAGTTCAGCCAGTGGTCCCCGAAGGTCGTCTGGCGGCACTGGTAGCTCTGCTTGTGGCTGTAGTGATTCAGGAGGCACGCTCTGTCCGTAGCCCCCGGGGTTCGAGTCGGAGTCGTCGGTTGCCAATCGTAGTGCTCCACGCTCAGGAAGCCAGACTAGTCTTGGGAATTGTATGTATGAGTACAGGTCCGGCGGTGCGGCTGTAGTCGCACTCGTCCTAGGTGGCGCCGCCGTTGTCCCCTGGTATTTCCACGACGACGTATGTAGTAACCCCGTCGGGTTGTTCGGTCGTGTCTTTCCTGGTGTCGGTCTTGGTGGCGTACTTGGTGTCGCAATGGTGGCGGCACTCCTCCCTGGGCTGCCCGGTACGCAGCTCATTACTGTACTTGGGTTGCCAGTGACGCAGTTCATTCGCGCAGTGGGGCTGCTTGTTACGCAGCCCGTGCTTGGAAGGCCTCGCGAGGTTTGTCTGAGCGACTATGACGATGTCGTCGTTCGAGACTGCATTTCACGCTGGGCGTTGTCCCCGCCCGTTTTTGGGCCGCGTCTGCTCGCGCCCATGTTCCTTTGTGCGCGTGCGGTCTCGGCATCCTTCCCGGCGCGCATCCACAAAAGTGGGTGCATCTCGTAGCTTTATATTTCAACAGCTGGTGGTTGATGTTGTAGTCGCGGTCGCTCTCCTGCTCGCGGACGTTTTCCTTTCGGCAGATGATGCTGTAGCCGCAGTTGGTCGCCCGCAGGTGGATGGATGTCCACGCCCAGAGGCCGTTGTAGGGCGAGAGGAAAAGGCGAGGCGCAGCGCAACTAGGAGAGCGCCTTCCCCTCCAGCTCGCGGCGGGTTGTTCAGGGGCCCACTTCGGGCTTGGGGCTGGGAGCGCGACCGATGTTTTTTTTTCTTTTCGGATGCTTCTCGGGAGTTCGTCGCCGCGAAATCCGGCTTGGATTTCACCCCGTTCCCTTGGCCCCCCTTTCCGGCAGTGCTCAGGAGTGCAGGGTCGACCTCGTCCGCGGGCATGCCCCATGTCGATCCCCCTGCCGCGCCGAGGCGGAAAAATCTTGGGCGGCGGGTTTTGGGCAGGAGAAGACGGGTAGCAGCCGCGATCGAATTCGGAGAGGTCGGCCAGTTTCAACGTTTTTCTTGTTTTAAGAGCATGGGCGAGTGCGATCGCTTCCCCGGCGGGCGCGGCGTTCTCTTTCCTCCGCCTGGTCCCTGTTCCCCCCCCCCTTCTTGTAGTCCTAGGTGTTGCGGCTCGAGCCGCGGCCCCAGCCCGCGCTTTTTGCGCGCGCGATAGCTTCCGTGTCTGAGCGGGCCCCGGCCCTGCGCGGGCTAGAGTCCGCCGACTCGGGGCGCGGAGGCTTGCCCCGACATGGGCGCGCACGGCAATTGCGGCGACGCCGCCTGCCATGGCGGGTCGCGGGGCCCCAATGCAATTATCCGATGGGCGTTCCAGATCGCCAGCTCGGCATCGACGCCTTCGTCGGGCCCGTTGTCGAGCAGGGGATTTTCAACTGCGCGGTCGAGTCGAACGACTGCTGCGTCTGCGCCGCGGCTCGGACCCCCCCGCGTCGAGCAGGGGGGGTCGGGCGAGGGGGCGCGGGGAGGGTGGCGGCGGCAAGGGGCCTCGGTGGGAATGCGGCGCCGCCCGTCAGCGCGGTCACGCGCGCAACTTCGCAGTCGCCAGGCGGCGTGGCAAGCGCGGCAGAGACGAGAACGGGCCGCCAGATCCCGGCCCCCCCCCCCCCCCCCCGCGCGGCGGGTCGAGGGCGCGCCCTAGCTCTGCTGCAAAGATGCCCACGGGCGGCGACGGCCCCCCAGGAGGCAGCAGCAGCCATGGAGGTGGGCGCGAAGACAGACGCAGGCGCGTCGAGATCTGCACGAAGCAATTCTCGGAAACAGACCGCGTTGATCGTGCAAGGTGCAAGCCCGATGACCCACTGTGGCGGGCGCTCGACCGACGCGGCGCCAAGCCCGCGGAAGCCGACGTCCTTCGCAAACGGGCATCTTAGTTGGAGACGGAGCGCGTCGCCGAGCAGGGCGAGCTTGCGCGAGCCCAGACAGAGTTGGGCGCAACCAACGTGGAAGAGGCAACGGCCAGGGGAGCAGTCGGGGACCAGGTCATCCAGGCTCTGCCCATGATCGAGATCTTGCAAGTGTAATGGGTCGCCTTCAGCAGGTGGTCGCGGTCGCGCCATCGGCCTTCCCAGTTGGCGACCAGGGCCCCCCGCTGGCATCTGAATCGTTGAATTTTTCCGAGCAGCAAGCTGCAGCGCAGGCCCTGCTTAGGTCCAAGTCAGCCTGGCCAAATTCCTTCTGGTTCCGTCGACTACCTTTGAGGCGTTCAGCTACGTGATGGCGCTGAGATCCCGCCCCGAACCGGCGAGAGCTAGCGCGGTCAACTTTATTGCAA